CCTGGCACCAATTTTGTCAAAATTGACAGGAGTAAAGTACCCCTTGGAGGCAATGGGTGGAAAAATTGTTCCACCTGGCAAAAAGGTATTGGGATAGGAATTATGTGTACGAAGTTTAAGCAATCTAGCATGTTTTTTGTAATACCTGGCACTAATTTTGTCAAAATTGACAAGAGTAAAGTACCCCCTGGAGCCGATGGGGGGAAAATGGTTTCACCTGGCAAAAAAGTATTGGGATAGGAATTATGTGTACAAGGTTTAAGCAATTAAGCGTGTTTTTTTCTAGTACCTGGCACCAATTTTGTCAAAATTGACAAGAGTAAAGTACCCCTTGGAGGCAATGGGGGGAAAAATTGTTCCACCTGGCAAAAAGGTATTGGGATAGGAATTATGTGTACGAAGTTTAAGTAATGTTGCGTGTTTTTTGTAGTACCTGGCACTAATTTTGTCAAAATTGACAAGAGTAAAGTACCCCCTGGAGCCGATGGGGGGAAAAATGGTTTCACCTGGCAAAAAGGTATTGAGATAGGAATTGTGTGTACGAAGTTTAAGCAATCTAGCGTGTTTTTTGTAGTACCTGGCACTAATTTGATCAAAATTGACAAGAGTAAAGTACCCCCTGGAGCAGATGGGGGGAAAAATGGTTTCACCTGGCAAAAAGGTATTGGGATAGGAATTATGTGTACAAGGTTTAAGCAATTAAGCGTGTTTTTTTCTAGTACCTGGCACCAATTTTGTCAAAATTGACAAGAGTAAAGTACCCCTTGGAGGCAATAGGGGGAAAAATTGTTCCACCTGGAAAAAAGGTATTGGGATAGGAATTATGTGTACGAAGTTTAAGCAATGTAGCCTGTTTTTTGTAGTACCTGGCACTAATTTTGTCAAAATTGACAAGAGTAAAGTACCCCTTGGAGGCAATGGGGGGAAAAATTGTTTCACCTGGCAAAAAGGTATTGGGATAGGAATTATGTGTACGAAGTTTAAGCAATTATGCGTGTTTTTTTCTAGTACCTGGCACCAATTTTGTCAAAATTGACAAGAGTAAAGTACCCCTTGGAGGCAATGGGGGGAAAAATTGTTTCACCTGGCAAAAAGGTTTTGGGATAGGAATTATGTGTACGAAGTTTAAGCAATATAGCGTGTTTTTTGTAGTACCTGGCACTAATTTTGTCAAAATTGACAAGAGTAGAGTACCCCCTGGAGCCGATGGGGGGAAAAATGGTTCCTTCTGGCAAAAAGGTATTGGAATAGGAATTATGTGTACAAGGTTTTAGCAATTAAGCGTGTATTTTTCTAGAACCTGGCACCAATTTTGTCAAAATTGACAAGAGTAAAGTACCCCTTGGAGGCAATGGGGCGAAAAATTGTTCCACGTGGCAAAAAGGTATTGGAATAGGAATTATGTGTACGAAGTTTAAGCAATGTAGCGTGTTTTTTGTAGTACCTGGCACTAATTTTGTCAAAATGGACTAGAGTAAAGTACCCCTTGGAGTAAATGGGGGGAAAAATGGTTTCACCTGGCAAAAAGGTATTGGGATATTAGTTATGTGTACAAAGTTTAAGCAATTAAGCGTGTTTTTTCTAGTACCTGGCACTAATTTTGTCAAAATTGACAAGAGTAAAGTACCCCTTGGAGGCAATGGGGGGAAAAATGGTTTTTCCTGGCAAAAAGGTATTGGGTTATGTATTATGTGTACGAAGTTACAGCAATTTACCGCGTTTTTTCTAGTACCTGGCACTCATTTTGTCAAAATTGACAAGAGTAAAGTACCCCTTGGAGGCAATGGGGGAAAAAATTGTTCCACCTGGCAAAAAGGTATTGGAATGTATATTACTTGTCAGAAATATTAACTCCTAACTATTACTTGTTTAGTACCTGGCAGCGGTCAAATTCCAATCCGCAAATTAGACATACCCATATTGAAGTAAACACAATGGGTTCTATAAGGATTATTGGTTGGGGTTCGGCTTTGGGGGATAGGGTCGAAATATTGAAACTAAACTTGGTATATGGATGTATTATCCCATAAAAATAAAAATCGCTTTAAAAAATTCACTCCTCCCCACCCCTATCTGATATGGTGAGGGTGGCATTCCCAAAAAATTAAGTTAGAACTTTTTAAATAAAAAAGTTGAAGTCTACGATTTTTTATACATAAAAACACAAAATTCCAATTTTTTTCAAAAAAAAATTTTTTATCTTAGAAAAAATTTCGACTTTAATCTTCATAGTTCGGATGTGGGGGCTGGCATTTAAAAATAGTTACAAATACATAAAAATCTTATTTTTGGCATATTTGCAATAGAAATGATTTGCAACATTTTTGTATAAATATCTTACCATCACCATCTCCTAGAGGGAGATGGAGGGTGTGGCATCCCCAAAAAATCAAGTTAGAACTTAAAAAAAAACAGTTAAAATATACAATTTTTTATACATATAAACCAAAATTTCAATTTTTAAATCAAATTATTAAATTAAATTATTTTTTTAATTTCTTTATTATATTTAATATTATTTCTACTTTTTCTAACAATAATCAATTTAAGATATCTACTTTGATTGAGCCAAAATATTTAGTAGGGGAAGTTTTTAATATTATACAAACATACTGTGTGTCCAAAAAAATATATGAATTTGGCTAAACATTAACCTTTAGTTCTAAAAACAGGAGAACAATGTTACTTGAAAAATGTACCTAGAATTAATATTATCCACCATCAAATCCTGGACCTGGACACAATTTTTTTTAGCAATACAGGAGAAGCGTAAGTGACATTTTTACAAATGAAATTAATTTCAACAAATTTATTTGAGATCATGTACAAGATTATGCACTATTAAAGACACCTTTTATAACCACTATTGCATATTCAAAAAAAGCTTTAAATAAAAGTTTGTGAATATGACTGACTTTTTTTAAATATACCATAAAAACACGTATTCATATTTCACGGAATACAAGACAAATAAACTTTTTTAAATGGGATACCCTCTATGTTATTACATTTCTGGGATATTTTTTTTCTAATTTCACAAATGTATATTATTGATAACCCTATCTTATACCGTCTGTTCTCGAGTAATTTAACGTTGATAATGTAAACATGAAAAAGTTAACATTATTAAAGTAAAAGATATGAAAATCACAACTAGTATGTTTGATAATAAAATAATCCAAATAGGTAGTTTACAGTGAGAAAGAAAAAGTGTAAATATTTATAAGATATTCGACATAGATTATCTATGATATTCGACGTTTAATTAATCAGGAAAGAATAAAGATCATTTCGAAAATTGAATAAAATATACAGGGTGGCTCGCGCTCAACGGGACGGAGCTTTATGGGAAAACGATCAAAGATATAAAAAATTCGTTTGGGAGGAATACGTAGGTCGCAGACGGCTACAATTTAAAATTTGTTAGATGTATACAGGATGTCCCACATAAGAAAAAAAAATTAGTTCATTAAAAATTATTTAAACAAGAGTAAACAATTAATTTCTGGGAGACTTTTTTTCCTTAAAAATTCAAATAAATCGAAAACTAATAATAATAGTAATAGGGAACTTTTAGTTAACTGACATTATTTTTGATGTAGTTTTTAATTCTAAAATAAAAAACAGGGTGTTCCATTAAAAATAATATAACTTTGTATATTTTCTTATTTTCTCTTATGTGGGACATCCTGTATACATCTAAAAAATTTTAAATTGTAGCCGTCTGTAACCTACGTATTCCTCCCAAACGAATTTTTTATATCTTTGGTCGTTTTCCCATAAAGCTCCGTCCCGTTGAGCGTGAGCCACCCTGTATATCTATGCTATCCTTATTAAAAAATATTCATGTTAAATCCTGTGAAATATGCACACCACTGATATGGTCATTTGATGACATTTTTACAAAATTCGGTCAATGTAAACATTATACAATAATAATTATAGCATAAAGGGAGGGTAATTTATAATGAATAACCCTGTTAGGTACCATAAATTTTTAGTAAAAAATTTTAATTCGCACTTTTTTACGTAGATTAAAGAAAAATATAATTTTGTGCGTTTTCTTGGTGCAGACATTTTGCGACACACTGTATATTCAAATCCAAAATAATGTATTTTCTTTTAACACATACCTAATACAAATTTATTAGCAAAATTTAAATACTGGTTATTTTCGGTGTATTTCTCCTTTAGACACACACATTTTTAGTTTCATTGTCAAAAGATTTAAATAAAATTACCTGACCTTATAATATTCTATTATAATTTGATTATTAACGTAAAATTAATGTTTTGAAATTAATTTAAGTTTTACCAATTTAGAAAATAAAATTAAATAATAAAAAAAAAAGTGTCCGCTCGGGGGTTTGAACTCGGAACCCTTCGATTCGTAGACAAGTACTCTAAATTATCGTTATGAAGACTTATGAAAAAGTTTTACTTTTTAACGCTGATAATCAGACTGCTTTTAGTTTCATTAAAATCTCAGTTTATTTCTAAATATAGACGAATATTTTGTGGAATGCTATTATTTATTGATTCTTTACAAGAATCACTAATTTTTATTTATATTTAATCTAAATAACTAAAAAAATATATACTGACAATTTTACGGAATTGTCACTTATAAAGTTCTAACATCTGACGTAGAGGGCGTATCTAACCAGTAAATAAAATCGTTAGTTCAATGATTGTACCAATAGATGGCGGGCGCGATTGCCTCCAATAACTTTTACATGGCGATTATCCTACTATAGTTTTTTATACAATGCCGTTGTTGACGTATCACTGCTGCAGTAATGAGCGGGGCGGACAACTTCGCATCAATATTAATACGAGGCATTTGTACCTAGATGGCACCAGTAGTAGCACTTCAAAAATTAATTCTGTAATTTAAATATAGAAGTTCGTCATCTTACCCCGTTTGTCATCTTACCCCGATCTCCCCTAACACTTTTCATTTTGTACTAAAGATTCAAAAAAATTATTTTAATTTTTAGTAACCAGTTTATTTGTCGTTCATCCATTGGGTTTGGATCCAATAGAAAAAATCAACCCTATAACTAATATAACAAAGATAATAAAGCCTCTTCCTCTATCATCGTGGTTCCCTTTTGATGAACAAACGTACTACCGTCCCGCTTATCTATGGCACATTTTGGATTGTTACGTAGGAGCATCGTTTGTAAATAACACGGATATATTCTCATTTGGAATTATTACGTTTCCTTTGGGGCAAATTGTTATATTGAATCATATTTTGTCTAATTTCGAAAAATACGTAAATAAAGTCCAGAATCAGTTGGGCGTTGAAAGGGACGAAGCTAGCTTCGTAACGCTAAGGGAAATTATTTTAAAACACAAGGATATCATTGAGTAAGTATGTCAAAATTTAAAGTTGTTCTAGTTGTAACTAAACTGCACCAATAAGTTGTCATAACATGTATGTATAATAATTGTTTCAGATACATAAAAGTATTCAACGAAGAAATGAATATGATTGTATTAATGGATTTTCTTCAGAGTTCATTGCAGCTAGCAGCTATAATGCTAGAACTTATGTTTGTAAGCTTTGCGAATTTCTTAATAATTATATATTACTAACTTATTATTATTACATATTAAAAGTGGGTTGCTGGATGTTGCTACCAATTGTAAAGCTGGCAACCTACTTTTAAGAATTAAAGAAGTAAATAGTTATAATAAATTTTATCCAAATTGTATTGGGCGTCTCATAATGAATTTAAGGTTTTTAACTAATAAAACTTGTCTTTAGAACCTTTAAGAAATATTTTAAATTTTTAAACCACGTGAAGCATGCGGATTTTATTTGCTCACAAGTAAGAAAAACTTCGAATTATATAATTAATACAAATTAAAATAAAAACAGTCAACACAAACGCCAATGTTGCCAAATGATTAACTGAGTTTAAAACAAAATTGGTAAATGAACTGAAATTTAAAAAAAAACTCAATATAATATATCGATTTTATAAAAAAATCCCTAAATAAATATATAATATTGTAACGTTTTTTTGATTTATTTATAATTTATTCATTTAAAACACTTTATTTATAATTTATTTATAACGTACTAATTAATTTATACTTAGGCACTATTTCAACTCATAATTTTATTTATTACAATTTATCTAAACTATCTAGCATTTAATTTAAAACTTGCTTGCCTGTCGACAACTTACGCTATTTATATAAAGCCAGCTCTGCATCAGAACTCTTTCGGCTTTCCAGAACAATTGAAAACTGCCTCTCTATGACTCTACGCCTATACAGGGTGTTTCAGATTTAAACGGACACAGCTTAATGGGAGGTAGAATACACTTAGCTGAATTCAAAACACCCCCATACTTAGCCTTTAATCTTACTCGTTTCTGAGATATAGGGTGTTTTATGATTTTTTGCCAAAACTAAAATCGGCCATTTTGTTTGAGCAGCTAGAGATATTTTGTTAAAATTTTGTACAAAAGTTACACTCTCTTAGGTTAATCAAAACCATAATTTAATTTTAAAAATTCCAGGACTGAAGTCTCTTTTTTATATTGCTTTTCTTAGCTAGAATATCGCCCTGTATATCGGATTTGATTAAATGTGACTGCACATTTAAATAGTACGTAAATCAATAAATTAAATAATGTATTAATATTTAATGGCACCATCTTGATTTTCTTACAGTAAATTTTTATATTATAAATCAGTATTCATAAAATTGAAATCAAATATTTAACTCTGTATTTTTAAAACTATACAAATTAGGTATACCATCTTCATTTATTTTAAACTACTGCATTTTCCAATAAGAAATTGAACATCTACACGGTACGTCGTCTCCATGTTCTAGTCGCTGTACTTTTTGTACATGAAATGATGCAAATTTTCTTTTTTTAAAGTTTTCCATACTCTTGTTATCGGTACTGCTAATTTATTACTAACAGAAACAAATAATTAATTAAAACTAAAGTAGATTTTCAAAATGAACACCGTAAACGTCAGTACACCTCTGCGAACAAGTTTTTCACTGATTTGTCAATTATTTCCGGTTTATTTCTAATGTTGTTACATACATTATTAATTTTTTCCAATAACTGTGCTCGGGTATTCATTTCTTCGTTGTACACCTCTGATTTAAGGTAGCCCCATAATCCAGAGGTGTTAGATCTGGACATCTTGATGGCCAATTGACGGGACCGCCTCGACCTATCCATCTATTTGGGAAACGATGATCCAAATGATCTCTGACCAGTATTTGAAAATGAAGTCCAGCACCATCGTGTTGAAACCACATTCCTCTGGTAATAATCCCTTCTAACAAATTTGGCAGAATGTCTCTAAGGAAATGTAAATAAACTTCAGCTGTTAATCTGCCATCAACAACATGAGGGCCTATTAAATGATTTTTATAAATACCACACCATACATTTATAGAAAATCTATATTGGGAATGTTTTTATGATACAGTGTGAGGATTTTCAGTTGCCCAAATAGGACCCTTCCTAGTGTTATTGATCCCATCATGTGTAAATTGGGATTTATCAGTAAATAAAATTCTCGATATTGACCTTCTGTGGGCCAAATTCCGTCTACAAGAAGATAAGCGGGGTACGTCGTCTCCGTGTTCTAGTCGCTGTACTTTTTGTACATGAAATGGATTCAAATTTTCTTTTTTTAAAGTTTTCCATACTCTTGTTATCGGTACTGCTAATTTATTACTAATTCTTCTTACACTGATAGAAGGATTATTTCGAGCTATCTGTAGTATCTCCTCTTGTCGAAAATTATTTCTCTGAGCATGTTCATGTTTAACTGTAGTTGAAAACTTTCCATGTTGCTTACTGAATTCGAAAACCTGTAAAAATGTTTTAGAATTTGGTTAACGGCGATTAGGAAAATGTCTACGATACTCTCTTACTGAGACTCTACCGTTTCCGTTACAAAAACCGAACACAAAAATAATGTCTGCATATTCTTCGTTATTTAATTGAAACAGCATCCTGAAATACTTATTTTCATACCATTAGAAACTTACACTTATGATCAAAAGTAATTTAGCTCAAAATACTGTACATAAAATAAATGATATTATTTGACACAAGCTTACTGGTATTATACAATTTTACATTAATCATGTTTAGGACGGAGTGAGTGATGGTGTAATCTGGCGCATATTGACGGTTGACTTAATTGAGTTTTCAGCTCGTTTATAAAATACCTAGTTTTTTGAACTTTTAAATTTTATTTCATCAGTTTTAGTTCATTTAAGTTGTAGGTCATTTTAATTTCCAAATATAATTACCTAAAGATAAACGTGGAGAGAGGAATGAATCAATCCTTGTCTCGACAGGGCTACTGCAAACCGTTTACAAAAAATACAAAATTCGTGTTGTCGGCTTGTTTGTAACAAAAGAAAATATGAACACATATCACCTTACATTATTTCATTAAAATGGTTGAAAATGGATTCTTTGTTCAAATTTCTTTTCTTATTATTTTTAAGCAATTTATTAAAAGCTAATTCACCATTATATTTAAGAGAACGGATTACGTATAGGATTGACGCACATGCCTTAAATTTGCGAAATCGCCATACTATCGCCATGCCACGACATAGAACTGCCATGTTTCAACGGTCATTTGGCTATAATGTCGCTAAAGTATACAATTCACTAAATACACACTTAAAATCATATTTGAGTACTAGTTCATTTAAAATAATGTTAAAATCATATTTTCTTGGTAGCCAAACAAATGAAAATATTTAATTCATATTCTATTTTATTTATTTTATTGTTTTATTTAGTTCTTGTTCTTAATTTAAATTTGAATTCATCCGTAGACATTCAGCGTAATGTAGAGTAGGTTAGGTTTAAGTTAGTTTTAGGATTTGTGATATGGTTAAGTTGAATGGCCATTTGGCTAGACTACGCCATTTATACTTTGTAAATGTTGTTTTGCTGGTATAATAAAGACGTTTATTATTATTATTATTAAAGAAGTGGTTCTGTTAGTGTAAGAATTAGTAGCAGAAGCAAGTGTATAGAGAACTTAAAAAAAATTAAATTTGTATCTATTTTATGTACAAAAAGTACAGCAACTTGAACACACATAAAATGTTTGGTGTGGAATTTATAAAAAAATCACTTAATACCCAAGCACAGTTATTGAAAAAAATTAACAATGTATGTAACAACATTCAAAATAAACCGAAAATAATTGACAAATCAGTGAAAAACCTGATAAAATGTTCACAGAGGTGTATTGACGTCCACGGTGTTCATTTTGAAAATCTACTTTAGTTTTAGTTAATTATTTGTTTCTATTACTTTATTAAATAAAGTGAGCCCAGTCCTGTGTAGATGTTCAATTTCCAATTGGAAAATGCTTAAAAAAATAAAGATGGTACCTAATTTGTGTAGAATTTTAAAAGTACAGAGCAAAATATTTTATTTTAATATTGGTAATACTGATTTATAATATTGCCCAACAAACATTTTGTATAGGGGAATTAAAGGCCCAATAACTGTCACCTTCTAATTACATTGATGGCCATTCGACTTATTTAATTAAAAGGCCGGCATATATAGGTCACTACGGCCGACAGTCAGCCCGAAGTCACTTTGCCATCATAACCAATTAATGGGCCTACATTTCCCCTTTTGTCTAGAAATAAATATATTGGCTATTAATGGCCTTTTGATGAGAAGTTAACGGGAAATTGCTGGCCTTTTACCATATTAATAAAGACCATGTGTCAGGCTCATGATAAGACAGGATATTCGATAGTGCCTCTTTGACCAGTAGTACCGTTTGAAGTTTAAACTATAAATTCTATACAAAAACAGAAGGCATTTCAATATAGAATATTGTAGACATTTTATTTAATTCAGCTATATAATATAATATAGAAAAAAATGTCCTCTTTAAAAAAATTGGTAAAAAATATTCTAAATTAATATGTAAAAGTAAAAAATTACAATGAATACTGATTTGTGAATACCAGCAATGCGAGACTGGCCTCATAGTACATGTCTACTCGTTGAGTATGTAACAAGCGATCATCGGTGTCTCCATCTATGAACGCGGGGCGGAGCTCTCCTGGACTGTTGGAGTTGGGCCTGCGGCAGTTAAAAGCCTTTTGACTTTTACCATGCTTTTACCCAATACAGTTACTTACCCTTCATAAGGCCATCATCAAGCAACATAATGCTGGGCCACTATCGAAAGGCCAAAAGTAGGCTTCTATCTTTTAATCGTCGCATTCATTTTCCCTTCAATTACAGCAGAAGACCAGCCATATCCCGGCAATTTATTGTTTGTTGGGTGTAGTCGCCATTATAAAAATGTACTGTAAGAAAATTAAGATGGTGCCATTAAATATTGTTACATTATTTTATTTATTGATCCACGTACGTACTATTTAAATGTGCAGTAATATTTATTAAAATCTTATATACAAGGTGATATTAATTCTAGCTAAGAAGAGCAATATAAAAAGAGAGAGTCCGGTCCTGGAATTTTTTAAAATTAAATTATGGTTTTGTATAATCTAAGAGAGTGTAACTTTTGTACAAAATTTTATCAAAATATTTCTAGCCGTTCAAACAAAATGGCCGATTTTAGTTTCGGCAAAAAATCATAAAACGCCCTATATCTCAGAAACGAGTAAGATTAAAGACTAAGTATGGACTTCATAACACGGGCAAGGAGTAAACAAGGAACAGAGTTGGCTTTCGCGTCACAGTATGATTATATTACTAGACAAAAATTTAGCTACCTAAAAAAAGGTCTTATCCACTTCTTCAAGGACTAAAAATCAGACGACGTAGCGAAATTTTGCTACTCCTGGCAACAATGAACAATGTCTTACTTATTCAAGCTAAGTGATACACCCTCGGTGGTCGATTCTCGACTTAATATCAGACATACGTGAAACTACTATTTCCATGGGAATGTCTATTCCGACAAGTTCGAGAATTGCATAACCTATTACCATGGGAATATAAGTAGTGGAATCTTTTCCCATGGGAATCAGTTTATACAGTTTCTTAGTGAAAGAGAATTAAAAATAATATACCTACATAAATAAAATAATATCAATCTATAAATACGCCAAAAATAGTATATTGTTTCACGAGTGATGAAAAAAATGATTTTCGACGAGTAAAACACTATACTTTTTCTACGAACTCTATTATGTCATGTAGGTACCTACTAAAATGAAAAAAAAAAAAAAACAAACGTTAGCAAATGATTTATTTTGTTTTAGGAATAACAAAAAAATAACCAACAATTAAATATTTCAGAAATATTATTTATTATTTAAATATTGATTTATTGTTATATTTGAACAATTGTTCAAAATTATGGGGGTATCACACTCAAGCTTTTTATTTATTGAGGTAGATGCCAACATATTTGTTCTACTGTTAAATGTTATTTCAGATGATGATGCGCCATAATCGGATGAACTAGTAGTTTCCTTATTTTGTACAGATTGTAAAATTTTGGTTTGTATTTGGTTTTTACTGTTCGTGGATTCATCAACATATCCTTCCGCAACACTACTAGATTTTCAACCACCGTGCTTTTTTAACAGAAGCAAGTCACCTCCTGCATCCACTAATAGCGTTGCGGATGTTCTGCGGAAACAGTGCCCAGTGTAATCTTGAGGATTCGGAAGCGTTAAAAACTGAGCAATTTCGTTAGGAAATTTACTGATTTTATTAATTCCAACAACCTGTCTGCTACACTTTCCATTCTGATAGTTAACAAAGAATCTTGAATTAATTTGATCCATATTTGCGGGACGTAGGCTCATATATTTTTTAGAAATATCATAAAAGGGTCCAGAAATATGAAAAGAACGCGGAACTTTTGTTTTTGTATTACGGATTTTAACTAACAGAATGCTTCCAGTATCCTTTACATCGCTTATTGTTAAATCTTTTAGTTCGTGGCAACGACAAGCGCCAGATAATCCAAAAACTAATGCTACATACAAATATTAGTAGTTATGTTTTAAGTATTTGTTATAATAATTCCGTTACCTTTGTTATTAAATATTTATAGTCAGGTGCATTCTTTAGGAAAGTCTTTGTCTTCAGGCGAAAAATTTTTGGATTTTTGGCTTTTAAAACCATCAGATTTTCTTTTCAAAAGCGAACGTAACTTTGGATATTTACTAATATCGACATTATTTTTAACAGAGAGTGTAGTTCTTAGCATCGAATAAATGGACCATAACGTCGACGGTTTAAAATTTGAACATATTTCTCCAAAGTACAGTTTCCGAAAATGATTTCACTTAATTTTTTTCTCTCCAGTCCAAAAATTTGATATAAATTTCTTCATATCTCTTTTTTGATTTGGTCGGTAATAAATCTGAAGAGGTTTCTTCAGCTTTAAAAATAATTTCTGGGGGAGTACAATCGCTTTCTGACTCAGACATCATGAAAATGTGTTAAATTTAGGACGAACTGAAACTGACAGTTTTCAAAAGTGATAAAAATTCAAATAAACAAATGAAAACCAAGAAACTAGATGTAGATTGGTTTAATTTCCACTATTTTTATACATTTTTATTTTATCTTTAATTCATTAAAGTTTAGGTAAAAACGCATATATAATTTAATGAGCATCTTTTTATTTCATTATTAATAATTATAAGCTGCCAAAATATTATACGAGGCGACTGATATATGAAAATATGTAACAACTTACTTTCGTCACTAGAGACGAAAGTAAACATGGGATTTTTTCTCACTAGTGACGGAAATCAAGTTTTCGCTGAAAGTATCCTGTGGCGAAAGATGTCTTTTTGTAAGAGTTCGTAGAAAAAATGTTTTAACTACAATTTCATCAAAAATCCAAGATATCCAATAATATTTGGTTGTCTTAGACTTTCGCGTGGTCTTTCGTCAAATTTTCGACTTTAATGCGCAAACTCTAGTACAATTCCCATTGGAAAACACTATTTCCAATGCTCGTAAGCAGGGGAATATTTTCCCATACTTCTCATTGGAAAATATTCCACCGATCATGTCGAGAATACGAAAACTGAATTCCCATGGGAATAAAAGTCGAGAATTGGCCTTAATTTTCGACTTCACCAGAAAATTTTCCCATGGATAAATATTCCCATGCTTATATTCCAGTGGTATTATAAAATGGTATTCTCGTCTAGGTTAGGAACCTTTTTCCTATGGGAATTTCGATTATTCGTATGTAATATAACGTATGTCGGGTATTAAGTACGTAAATATTGGAAACTGACCAATCATAATCACTATTATATTTCAATACTTTCAAGTAGTAATTTTGGGATCATTGATTATATCGTCAACTTTTGACTCTTGTTTTGCCACTTGCCATCTTGTTAGGGAAAACAATCAACCCCCTTTTGTTAGAAAATAACGTGAAAATATATCATGTGCTGAACCTAGTACAAGGGGCACAATAAAGCCAAAACGAAGAGTAGCTGTTACAAGGTTAACTAAAACCTTGAATACTAGCCTAAATATTGAACGCATGTTACAAAATAAAAACTTTAATAAAGAAAATTATTATGACAAAAAATTCAAGTTATTAGAGAGAAATGTTTTGGCAAAAGAACGAATAACTTGTGCCTTGGAAAAATAGCAGAAACAAAGGAATTTTAAGGATTTATAAGAGTGTTCAATATTTAAGCTTCAAGTTTTTTAATATCTCATTATGTTATTAACAGTTGCTATTTATTTTGCATAATAAAACAAAATTTATTCTGAAATAGCCTATTCCTAATAATAAAACAAAATTTATTCTGGGATTGCTTATTCTAGAAAATTTGCGTTGATCATATTTGAGAAATTGTCTATCATTTAAGGATTCAAAGGGATCCCCTGCCTCATTTTTCCACTTAGACCAAAATCTCTTGGGACATTAATTGCTCTTCTTTCTGCCCCTTCTATATTGTTTAATTGGGAAAGTAAAATAGCTTCATCCATTTAAGGAAAGGTATATTAGTAATAATAATATATAAATATTATTATTTGAAGTAACTAGCAAATGTAACCGGTGACAGATTCCCATTGGAAATTTGATTTCCCATGCCAAATACCAGGTGTATTTGCTCCCCCCATACTTTTCGTGAGAAAATATTCCTAGTGGATGTGTCGAGAATACAAAATATAAATTCCCATAGGAAAATTATCTTTTTCCCATGGGAAAAAAGTCGAGAATTGAGGCCCTGGAGGAAATTTGTAGAAGGAGCCTATAAGTAGGATATTGTTCGGTGTTGCCAGGAGTAGCGAAATTTCTCTACGCCCTCGGATTTTTAGCCCTTTAAAAAGTGGATAAGATTTTTTTTTAAGTGGCAAAATTTGTGACTAGTAATATATGTAATCATACTCTATATTTATTTAAGAATTTTTTTATAAAACCGGTTTATTATATTGATTTTTTTTTAAATTTCAGTTCATTTATTAATTTTGTTTTAAAATGAGTTCTTCATTTGGCAAAATTGGCGTTCCTGTTCACTGTTTATCAATTATAATTCGAAGTTTTTCTTACTTGTAAGCTTTAAATTTGTTTATTTCTTATAGTGTGTGATAGTGTCTACATTAAAAATAAAATTTGCGAGAACGTCCCCAACAAATTGCAATCTATATGGTGTTAATATCAAAATTAAAACTGAAGTGTTCATTATTTTCCAAGCATAAATCGAAAAATTTTATTTTTTACGATAAATGGATATCGACAAATTCACATTATTGAGATTTTGCAAAATTTTGTTAAGAATCAGACTACAATCGGATTTGTGACGGTTTTATTACCATTTACATGTATACAAAGTACTACATAATTCACTTCATAATATAAGAATAAGGATAGTAAAATTTTTAAATAAGTTCATTAATATTAAACGTTTGTTATCTGAAATGTCTTTTAAACCACATAATAAATCATGTCCCGGGTTTAGTAAATAAATATTTCTAGATGTTCCTATAGCAACCAATATTTCCAACAAATTAAGCCATACACGTGATAAATATTATATTTATGACGGCAGCACGAAAACTAAACTTAAATTAACACAAAATTAAACTTAAAAACACCATCATAATGAGAATATTTTCTAAAACAGTTAAAAAATCAAAAATACATAATCCCGCCCGAAAAAAGCACATGTAAATAAACAAACATCCTACTTATAGGTGACAATTGACAGGCGCGCGAAAATTAATTTAAATGACGAATAGGCACTTCCTATAATTTCCTCCATTTAGCTTGAATCGCGAATACTTATATTAAAACAAATATGGTACGAAACACTATTGCGCAAGTACAAGTACGACTAGCACTTGTTGATTATTATTATTATTTTTATTTTAGTTTGAACTCAACCTCTTCAACACTGTTTATTCGGTCATGTTCGTAATCTCCATGTTAACACGATTATTTGGTTATTATTGGTACGCCAATGAGATTCTAGTAGAGGTAAGCAATAAATAAATTATCAAAACTATGCTTTATTTTTCAGAATCACAATGCGCTAGTTCAGCGTGATGTCATTTTGGTTCCACTGACATTTAATTCTAACCAAACTTTTAACAAAAACATCAATAAATTTGACATATACGTTTTTACTGTTTTTAGTTTATTTCTAAATATTGTTTACAGGTCATAAAAAATAGTTTAAAGGTATGTAATGGGTAACTAAACGATTGTATATTTGACGCATGTTATCTACTTACTTTAGGAATAAATTTATAAAAGTGAAAAAACGATATAATTTAGGTAAACAAAACGAACAAAACGCACTCAAAAAATCTACTGTCACTTTAATTGTCAGTGGAACCATAATTACATCATCACTGAACTAGCGCATAGAATATTTTGGGACTTCCGATTCTGATACCGTGGTGTCAACATTGAAATGGCGGTTTCAGAATCGGGAGTCAATAGGGGTTATGATGGACAAGTAATGTTATTTTTAACAGGCACGTTATTTGTTAATAGGTTGTTATTTCTGTGTGTTTATAAAATAACAGACCTGTTAAAAATAACACAGGTTGTTAATCATAACCCCCATATGTTTTCTGTAAAAACCTTAAATAAAAATGATCATCGAAAAGTGAATTCTGTCTTAATGTGATTAGTTATTTGATATTAAGAATAGTGTGATAATATTTTTGAATTTGATGAATATAAATTATCACATGGTGTGATGGTGAATACAATAACATTTTGATTTTATCAAGTTTTGAGGGTGCTTTATTTCCTAGAGCACAGAAGGAAGAACAATACAGAAAAAAGTAATGGTCGGAACTTTGAAGTTAAAGGGATAGAAATATTTGACCTTGAGTTCCACCATAGAGATACTCTGAGAAAACGTAATTATTCACAGTACGCGCGAACGTAGCTATTCACCTTAGAGAGAGCCGGGCGAAGATGAGTTTAGTACACAACATGGCGACGACAAAAATTGCGCACTGGCTGTTGCCTAGCAACGACGCACGGTGAAGCCAAACTTAGTCATTCGGTGGCGTAACTTGGGTCGAGTATATACAAAGTGAATAGAAGTGAATAGAGTGCGAAAAGTGACAATTTTATATAATTATAGTGCCTTGTGATTTATATCTACATATAAGTATTGTGTTTTTGTTGTTGTAATGGCTCCAAAGAGAATCGGATTAAAAGGGAGGTCCCTTAATAGTCAAACAATAGAAATTATATATAATATTACTAAATTTATGGAAAAAGAAGCAAATGAAGGATTTCAAATTCCTCTAAAAAATTATCGGTGAGTATGATAATATAGCATTTATTTTATAACAGTCGTATACATAACAAGTAGTAAGAAGCATTAGAAGCGTTGGCGGCTAGTGCAAAAATTCCACGAGCATATAATTATCTACAATCAGAATTATACATTCATAATAACGAGAAGGATTTCATAATTTATAACATTTAATAAAAAAATTGTAAATTGCAAATGCAAATACTGAATTAACTGAAGAACAATTGTTTTAGAAACAAACATTTGTTAATAGTATTGCGAATCAACAGTTTCTTTTAAAATTAATATTTAAAATATTTACCTATTTCATCAAAAAAAATGTTGCTTTTAAAACCATCTGATTACCGTTTAACATATAACAGATTGCCCATAATTATGAAGGTTTGAATAATTGTTCCATAAGTTCCCCAAAATAAATATGCCGATTTTTCTATTTCTAAAACGTCGAAACTATCGTAACCATAGCGATCACTTAGATTGAAAAATAAGCTTTTACCAATGATACTAAAATTTCAAATATTCAAGTTGAATCCATTGCGTAGACAAGAGCTTGGCAATCAATGATTACATTAATAAATATTTATTATGTATTTAATATATGTAATTTAATAATAATATTGGTAAATTGGTACTTAAATAAGTCCTCTATTTCTTAATATATATTATTGTATACCTGTTAATACGCAATTCCCAGAATTTGAAAATAGGAAGTCAAATATTCAAATTGATCTATTATGTAGACAATACATAATTAATATCAAATCAAGGGTAATTATGGCCAAAACGGGCGTACAAAATAGGGACTGACACAGGTAGCTTCACCTATATATATACAGGGTGTCCCGAAATTAGACGGTCATATTTTAACAGCGTAATCTACATCATAAAATAGGAATAAAAGTTCATATAAACATATGTCCGAAAACGTTTCTTTTCCGAGATAAAGGGTGTTAAAAGTGAAGTCCTGATGACACACTTTTGTAAATATTTTCTAAACGTTTAAAGATAACTAAGTGAAATTTGGTAAAAATGCTTAACTTTTTACGCTCTATTTAATGGACTAAACCCCAGTTTTTGATCATCTTCATAGGTGGGTAAATTAGGGGGGGGGGGCTTAGGGTAAAATTGCCCTAAGTTTTTTTTAATACAGATGTTGCCTAATTTGCCGGAGAAATCTGTATTAGTTATAGACAATGCTTCATACCACAATGTAACTGTGGAACGAAATATAACATTAGCAAGTCTCAAATTAGCCATGACAAAATGGCTAAAAGAAAAAGACATACTTTTTCAGCGAACAATGACAGAACCGGAATTGTACAAAATTATTAAAGATAATAAATACAGATTTCCGGTAGTTTATAAATTAGACAGATTATTGGAGGCACACGGTCACAAAGTCCTTCGGCTTCCACCCTATCACCCTGATTTCAACCCAATTGAAAAAATATGGGCTTCTGTAAAAAATTGGGTAGTAGCTAGAAATACCACATTCACTTTAATTAATGTAGAATCGTTATCACGAGAAAGGTTTGCAACATTGCAAGTAGAAGAGTGGGTCAACATTTATCGACATGTCAAGGAATATGAAGCTACACAAATTAAAAAAGAACATGTGTTGGACTCCACAATGGACCATTTAAGGTTTACAGTAAATACTGGATCATCGGATGAAAGTTGGTCAGAGGATGAAGATAGTGATGTAAGTTTAGGAGTACAACAGCTCTCTGATTTAGAATCGGACGAAAATTAGATTTGTGTCTCTATTTATATATATTTTTGTAATATATAAGTATTTTAATATTGTCTTATTTTATTATCACATATACACACATATATAAAAAAAATTTATTTAGAATAAAATTCACATCATAGTACCTAGTTAGTAATTAATCATAATACATAATTTAAAATAAAAAAGGTAATACAAATTACTAAACGTCCGCCTCTGCCTCTGACGTCACACCTTCGCGCAGGGTCGAGCACGTGGCTGTACCAATCTCATCTTGGCCGGCCTCTACTACTCTGAGCTATTCACTGAACCTACACTGCGAAAACTACATTTCTCTTTTACATAACTCATATTTTATAAAAATTTGCATGAATGCATTTGAAACTATTCTCGATTTAAGTAAATTATTTTTTGATTTGTAGCACTTCCGACAGAGATTTCAAAAATAAAAATTATAAAGTTTCAAAGAATAGTTCATTTTACCCTGTCATAATGAACTATTAATATTGTGCCACAAATCTCACTAGTCATTTATGATTCATAAGTATAAATCAATTGGGATAATTGTTAAAAAATCATTAGCTAAAGCGTATTTTAGGGATTTTATTTATAAAAAAAAGAAAAATAAAAAAACGTGTATTTATGCAATTGATAAGTTAACAATATAGTGCATGTATTTTATTAAAATAGAATTGTTTAAAAATTAAAATAATTAAAATTGTTTACACAGATTTATAAAGCAAGCCTAATTTATAATACATAGATAAGTAGCTTTATTAAAATAGCTATATCCTAATATACAAAAAAAAAAATAGTTATATAAACGGTACTTATAAAAAATAATAAATAATGAGTAATTATTTTTCTTCTTTTTGCACCAAACAAACGTTTTCTCAACGTTGCTATCTTCAGTCGCAGTCTCTGCTTTCTTGGAGTGTTTGATGATAACAAATTCTTCGTTTGAATTTGTGCTGTTACACAAGGTAGAGAAACAGATGGTTGACTATGCACTTGTTCAATAAACTCTACTTCTGCTGAAGTTGAGGGTAGACACAAGTCTTTGCCTTCTTCGCCATGAACAACAAATTCCTCTAAAAAAAGAAAGAGAAACCAAATTTTTATCAGATTAACTAGTGTCAAGAAGGTGCATCATTTGTCAGAATTAAATGTTTGAATCACACTTTTTAGTCAGATGAAATTTAAAATAATTTTATAAAATGTGAATATATTTCTGTGCCTAGGAGGTAAACTGCACTGTTATTCTAGTCAACTTTCTAATACAGCAGTTTGAATGTTGTTAAATTATTAAATTTCAACTAGATATGCATTTAGACATCCATTTATTGTCACAATATTTATATTTTTTACTAACCTAACTACTAAAACTACTTTATTTTAATTTGCATAAGTTGTTGTATGTCGAAATAGTGCAGTTTACCTCCGAGGTAGTTCTACAAAATGAAATGTATGGGTTGATATTAAAAGATTATTAGTACTTATCATTTTGTTTTTAAACTACTAAATGTAATGTAAAAAAATGACAAGACGAGTAGCAAACTTTTTGTAACATTCAACTATAATTGTATTTATATGCAAAACTGTGACTCTTTTCGTAGGTTCTGAATGGGGTAATACTGTTGGGAATGCATTTGCAAATAATCGTTTTCTTGTTCCTGACTGATAAACGAATTTATCCTGGAAGTGTAGTTCACAAATTTTGTGTGTTCAACACCCTTTCCCAATAAGTTCTCTCTATTTGCTGCCTTAAGCCACAATTCAAGTCTGAAAAATACATACAATCATTGTACTACCATGTTATGGCAAGGTCAATTTCTATTTTACCCTCATGGTTTCATACCTACCTCACTGGATCTTTCACAAGAGTGAACAATCCTGCTTTGCCACCTGTTCTTGAGGTACATCATCGATAAATACAAGTATATCCTCCTCCTCTTTGACGCGGCA